AAAATGGTTGTCTCCAAAGTCACTCTGTGCAAAGTGGTTTCTTGCTGAGAGGGAGAGATGTAATAAAATAAAAACTTTTGCATTTTACCTTTGGGAAAATATAATGTTGTTTGCTTTTTCTCAGATGGATTTTCAATTCCCCCTGGTAAAGAATGTGTTTTTTGGGCCTAATAGAAGGGAGGACGTGCAATGTGTTTGAAAATTTAACTCTGCTGGGATTCGTGCTGGGGCTGCTCATAAGTTCACGTTGCAAACATTTATCTCTCTGCAGGAAAATCTGTTGTGACAAGCAGACTCATAAAACAGGTTTTTCTCCAGCCATTCCCTTCTGCCTACCAAAATGGATTTTTTTTTTTTTCCATTTCTGGTTTTAAGCACAGCTCTCTTTAGCTGTGAAGCAAACAGGGTAACAGTAACCTTTGCAGCTTCACCCTGAAGCACTTGATGAAGGCAGCTGCTCATCTTACAGCTGAGATGCAGCCACTTCCCAGCAGAAGTGCAGCACTGATGAACAGCTCCTGTTCACACCACTGGCTCTGTCATCCAGTCAGTGCCTCAGGAGCCACCAGTAGGGGAGATGAACAGTAACTGTGCAGGCTGAGCAAGCAACGAGTGCTGGACTAAGGTTTTCTCCTTTGAGGAAAAGTGCTGTGGGTTTTGTCTGTGGCCCTGGATGTTGTAGTTCTTTATGAGCACTGCTCTCTGCCTCTGACACTGCCTTGTCCCCAGGGTGCCTCTGCAGTGTCCCACCACGGTGTGTGGCTGGGGAAAGCACTGCAACCTGTACTCTGGAAGAGTGGTGCTGGTTTGGAAGGTTGTTCCTAACCCTGGAGGGTCAGCCCTGGTCAGAAATCCATCCTTGTGACAGGTCACCAGTGCTGCATTAAGGCAAGTCCTAACTGTGCTCATTGGAGCAGGCCAGGAGCTCCACAGGGAAGGCAACACCTGTGGGTCTCTTCCAGCCCTGTGCTTGTGAGTAAAGCAGTGTATATCAGTGCATAAAATGTCTTATTAGTCTTCACTTTCTTCATCTCTTATACCAGCAGGTTGCTGCAAAATTGGTGATTATTCCATTTTTAAAGCTCCCTTATAAAGAAATTTTTTTAAAAAACTATAAAGGCATTTCTCTTGTATTTTTCTTTGGTGAAACATTAAATAATCCATGTACTCTGGCCCGTGTTCAGCATTTGACTACTTATGAAAGTTTTAGCCATTATATGATGTAGGAGAAAGTCAGAGCAGCGATCCATTGTAACACTGTTCAAGTGCTCACCAGCTTCTGTTGGAGGAGCTTGCTTTGCTCTGCCTGGGCATTGCTACCACCAGGGTGTTCTTCACTCCTCAGACACCCAGATCTCCGTTGGCTAGGCAAGGGTTTCCTGTCCTGGCTCTCAGTGGTTGATAAGTTGGCATCCATGGGGCCTGTTACCTTTTCCAGGGAGAGCAGGACATCTGAGCCCGTTGCTGAGGCTGGGTGAGGCTCTCCGTGGTTCCCTGGGTGCAGGGCTGCTCCTGGTCTGTGGAGAGGCCAGAGCACACAGAACTCAATGCACTTGCTGCCCTTCTGCATGCTTAGCCACCCAGCAGGCATGGATGGGCAGATCCTCTGCTGATGTTACAGGGGAGGCACAGAGAGCAGGAGGGCTTGCCCAGGCAGTGGTGCCCCCAGGTCCGTAGGCTGGGTAGGTTTCGTTACCTGTGCAGGTGGATGGGTGACTGCAGAGGCTGCTGCTGTTGCTCTTAATGAGGTTGATTTGCAGTTAGGTCAGGTCTGTCAGTATCTACTAGTAGGTGACTGTGCAGGCTTGTGCTCAGAAAGCTTCACTGACAAGTGCCTCCCCAGAACAGAGGCACAACAGCTCTAGTCTTTCTTAGAAGAGCTGCACAAAATTGCAAGGCAAAAAAAAAGGAAAAGGCTTGTGTTTCATTTGATCAGAAATATTTGGTTTAACTCCTTGCCTGGAGCATCCCTGAATTACAAGGCAGTGAGGAATGACATGGGATTGAAGAACACTGCATTTCAGCTTTTGAATCTTGACATTTACTGTCTATGCCCTGAAAATGTTTTCTAATAACATTCAGTGGCTTTTCCAGAAAATGTGCAGAGGTTGCTCTGTGTTCAGTGGCAGCTGGGAACAGGCACTGGTTGCTTCACTCCAGAGGTCCTGGATTCCAAGGCTGCTGACAGCCTGACTGTATGGTGCTGCTGTGTGAAAGTACAGCTGGTTATTGCATCTGAAACCTTCCTCTCTCTAGGTCTTTATACACTTTAAATTTTTTGTTCCTGGGCTATAGACCAGGATCTAAACAACATACTGAGGTAATAAAGACTGATGATTTGGGCCTGCCTGGGAAATGTGATTGGCCTCTGAGCTCCAGAGCTCTTGCTCCTAGTAAATGACTCTTCTTCCTCCCCGTCAGGAATTGAATTCCAGTTACTGCTCCCTGGGGAGCCAGGACTGGGGTCACAGCCTGCAGTCCTGAGCACTTACTGGTGCCTGAATTCACATCTGTGAACTTGAGTCGTGTGTGCATGACTGACCCTGGCACAGCTCTCACACCTCCTCTGCTGTCCCCCTTGGTGCTGGTGGCACCCAGAGGTGGTACTTCCCTTCAGCACAGCAGCTCTTTCGCCTGGTAGATGCGATGCAGTTTTCATCCCGTGAAGGCAGAACAGCTTGTGAAGGTTGGGTCACTGTCTCTCTGTCACAGGTGGGTTGGCCAGGGCACACATGGCTTGGCGTGGAGGTGGGGGATGGCAATGTCCCTGTGCTCCCACTGCAGGCTGTTAGCCAGAACCTGCTGCCTCCCACCTGTGAAAACGCAGGTCAGGGCCTGGGCTGGAGTTTAAACTGCCAGAACTGCAGGCACAGCTGGGTCCTGTCCCTTTCCTGAGCTGTGGTCTGCCTAGGTGCTGTTATCTAGATGATTTCAAACCTCTACGTGAGGTTTGGAGCAAGGTTTGTTGAGTTCCTGCCAAGACAAACAGACATCAGGCTTGTAATTCAACAGTGATGGGAAGAAAACGGTGAGAAGGGGGTTGCTGGATTAACAAAGTGATCTGGGTGGTTCCTGAGTGAGATCCCATCCATGACACCTTCTCACACCTTTGCTTCTTTCTTGATACCCTCTTTCCTCCACCTCCCACTGCATTACTGTGAGGTCCAAAGCTCTAATAGCCGTGTCAGAAATGCCACAGAAAAGAAACAACTTGTCTGATTAGGAGTTTATATTGTCAAGCCTCAGTCTGTGAGCAGTGAGCCAGGTCTTACGAGGTGCAAAAGACTTGCTTTGAACTTTGCAGATATAAAACATTTTCTGCTTTCAAAGCCTCTTCCATGTTTGGGTTTTTTTCCTCAGTGTTTTTTTTGCAACGCAGAGGACTCCTGTTGGATAAGAAGCCCACATTCTGTGGGATCAACTTGACTGAGAATGTGGGACGAGGAGGACACCATGTTTTGAGAGGCTCCTGCAGCAAGTGCTGGAGCTGCAGGCTGCTGCCAGCTGGGCTGGGGGTGTGGCTGTGGGCATGTGGGTCTCAGGATGGTTACCAAGGGAAGGCACGCTTGATTCCAGCATCCAAAACTGGCCTTGCAAATCATCTCACTGGAAGGGGAGCCCCTCCAAGCTGGAGGAGGCACCTCCCCAGGCTGCTGCCACTCCTCATGGCAGCAGTGCAGTGCCTGGGACGCGGGGCGCCCGCGGCTCCTCCGGTGCCCAGCGAGGGGACTGGGAATCTTTGCACCTGGCAGCATGCAAAGAAGTGGTGACCCAACTAGCTGGAAACTGGTTGTATGAGGTTATTTGTTGGCTCCCAGGACTGCTGCAAAAATTGTTTTCAAGTTAAAAACAAACATTTTAAATTAAAAAATTAAAACAACCCCAAACCCACAACATTGGAAGAAGAGAGCATTGTGTTAAATTTTTCCTGCCACGGCAGCACTTGTATATCCTGCAGGTGGCATTCCTTTAGGCAGTGTCCTAACCCTCTAACTACAGCTCACAAATGAGAGAAGCTGACAATGATTGTGGGGTTTTGTTGGGAAAAGCAAATGCTCCATGGCTGGGGAGAAATGCATGTCTGGCAAATGGGTTGGTTGAGGCAAATAGGTTTCATCTGGTATCAGGCTGAGGAAGCCTCTTGGGAGGAATAAGCTAGCAAGTGAATGCAGGGTAGCTGCAGTCTCTCCTCAAGAGCCTAGTTGCAAGATTTGTCTGTTTTCTTCCTCAATTTTTGCAAGTCCATAATCTGTAATTAATTCCCTGTGGAGCTTGACACATCAGCCTTGAAACTGGAGAGGAACTTTGTTTTAAATTAGCAAGAAGTGTGATAAATGTAATTTTATTTGCTGTAATGGTTAAATTGTTTGTAGAGGTGAAAACTGAAGGCACTGTCTTCTCTATATAGGTACTGTATTATTTTTGGATAGTGTCTGGTGATGCAGAGTTTTGAGAGTGTAGTTTGTAATTACTGTGGGCTGTGAGTCCCCAGCAGGGGCATGAGCTGCTGGAAACCTCTCTTGGGATGTGTGCCTGTGTAGCTCAGGGATCCTTTGTCCTTGAAAAAGAGTGGAGTGCCACAAGTGGAAAGGGGACATGGCAAATAATCTTGTTTCATGAGCAGGAGTAGCTATTCACAGGAAGGCTGAGGATGAATCCTATCCAAGTTCTGCACAACCCTTTAGCACTTGTGCTGAAGAAGTTCTCCAGAGGGCACGTTGGGTGCCCCGAAGTAATTCAGCCTCTTACAGGGGCATGCCCCTAATAGACCTGCCCTTATTCTACCAGAGGTTCCCTCCTCCCATGAAAAGCTGCTCAGGTTTGTCCTTCCTTTCTCTCCTTAAATGCTTCTGTTCTTCCCCTGCTGCAAAACGTAACTCGTGTGAGGTGTTAGTCTTTTAGTGATGGGTTAAGTGCGAGCAGAGGTTGAAGCTGGAACTCCCAAGTGCTGTACTGGTTTGTGCTGGGATCTTACAGTCACTTCTTTCTGTTTATTTCAGGTAAAGCAGATCATGGAAGAAGCTGTCACACGGAAGTTTGTACATGAAGACAGCAGCCACATCATCGCCTTATGTGGTAAATGACACATGACACAGCTGACACTGCACTATCTCACTTTTCCTGTGGAAGTGTGTTTTCTTTGCTGTCAGAAATAAATGCAGGGAATTTAATATTAGAAATCATGGTGTTCAGACCCATGTCACCTTTTCTTTACACTTGCTACATCTGTGTGTGCATTGCAAATAAGACAGTAACACCTATTAAAGTGGTGTTACACAGAATGGGTACCAAGCCAAAACTACAGGGAGAACTACTGGGAAGCACTTGTAAGTTAATTTATATGTACTTGGATAAGTGGTAAAATACAACCCAGAATAAATGCCAAAAGATTAAGTTCTCACAGTCACTGGTTAAAATCTGGCAGCCACCTTCCAACTGAAAGTATTTTGTTCTCTAATTACTCAACTTAAGTCTCAATGTGTTTGAAGAACAAGGTGTCTCACTTTGAGTATAGGTGACAGAATCCAGGCCAAAAAGTCATTGAAAGAGCTGTTGCTGTTTTTAAAAGAAGAGAAACAATGGAAATCTCAGTGACTTTTCTAGCCAGCATCCTGCCACTGGCTGAGGGGAATGTTTCAGACCTGCACTGCACTTCTCTGCTGTGCACTGAAGGCTGAAATGGTGCATTTGTGGTCTAGGCTTTGACACCGTGGACATTCTTGTGTTTTTTTTGACATAATCAGTGAACCATTATGTTGATGGCTTTTTATGACTGTATTTTGGAAGTGGCATTACCAAGAATTAGCAAGAAAATAAAATTTATCTGGAGACAAAGTCATGTATACCAAGGCCAGCTGGTGTTTCAGAACTCTGTGATTTGATCAAAGTCTGAATAAATTCTAAAATTTGGTGGTGATTTGCCTGGTCCCTGCAGTCTTAGACTGTGTGTGTGCTGTGATGATGGAGTGAAGCAGACCCTGGGTGGGTGGCTGGATAAAGGATGGCCCAATGCTGGATCCTCAGTAGAGGTCAGCTCCCAAATGTACACACCAGGTTCTCCTTTGGAGACTTAACCACTTCATTCAGTGCCTGAGAAGGGCTGTTAAATGCTGGCTCAATAGTTCTGAAATCTAGCCCATAATTTACTAGGGCTAATAAAAACTTAACACCATTTATCAGAGTGTGGTGTATAGAGAAACATCACAGCAAGATGCTGCTGAGAATTAAAGCTGTGTAGAGCTGTAAATGTGCACCTTGGCCTGTCAATTCTTGGCTGCTTTCTCTTCGTGATGCAAATTGAAACTGGGAGTGATGCTGAGACTGATTGGAGAACAGCCATTGTCTGTACTCCTGGATTTCACAGAGTGGAGCATTTGCAGCCAAGCACACCCAGCTGTGTGCTGTTGAGAGTGAAGAGGTTAAGAAGAGTGGAAGTTAGATTTGGCTTTGGAGATAAGTGGACTGTTTAGACAAAGTGGTATTGACATGTTGCTGAAAGCCAAAGTCAGTCAGTGACCACCTTTTCCAGTCACAGCACTGAAATTCCAGCTCACTCTGCTGTGGGAGGTTATGATGTGTGCAAGGCTAATCTTTCACTAGCCTGTTTGCAGTTTCCAAGTTATCTTTTACTTACAGGTTAGGATTAATTCATCCCTACGTATTCAGTGCAGGAATGTGAGATTTGACCATGGTTTCTGGCCAATGTTTTATTTCTATTAATATGGACTGTAACTGTTTCCTCCATTTAGATTGTGGTTATGCTAAATATTCCCCTTTTATTTAATGCATATTTGTACTACACAGAGGAGAAAAAGTAACTGAGGAAAGTGGTCCTGAGATAGGAGCAGGTGAGGGATGCTTGAGCCAGTGCTCGTGCTGCAGGCTGCCTAGGTCTGTTTGGTCTAGAGACCTCCCAGAGCTGTGTGTCTGTGAGATTATATTCTGTAAGAATATACATCTATGTATTCTGCAGGGTTGGTGTAAAGGGTAGTGGGGTGGCAGCTATTTCTGTTAGAATCTGCTCAGCCAGAATTGGAAATGCTGTGAAATCTTTCTAATATTTCTCCCTTCCTCCCACTGGGATTCCAGCTGGTTTTGTGTTCTGAATTCTGTAGGGTCTGAAGAAATAATAGCTCTCCATGAGCTGCCTTATTTTTGCCCAGCAATCCTGCCCATCCTAAACAAGTATTCCAACCTGCATCTGCTTAGAACATAGGACTTAATTAACTCTGCACCAGGAGTGGGTGAAGCTGAATGTTCTGCTCTCACTTCAGCTAATTGAATGGGGAAAGCATTTCCAGTGGATTTGGCTAGCAGCTCCTGGCTGGGGCTCTCCTGTCTGCACAGTTCCCTTCTTTCCCCCAGTCTGTGTTCATGTGTCTCTTCAAGAGGTTTTTCCCTTCTACTTAAAATTAGATTGGCTCAGTACATGAGTCACTTTCAGTGAATCTTTGCTATAAATATACAATTCTTGTGAATCATTTTACTCTTCTGCAAGGCTGAGTTTAGCAAGAGGCTCTTAAATACACAGTAGTTGATTTTCAGGGCCTGTCTGCATAAGTACCTGAAAATTTCCTAGGTCCTAGATGGCCGAAGGTGCCTATTAAGTCGTGTGTGCAGTGGGTGTGTTTTCCCACCCCTCAGGTGCTGCTCTGTTGTGTTATGTGGGGGTTAGTAAGGATCAGAATCTCCAAGGCTGAGAAGGCTGACTCAGTTCACTGTTCAGCCCCAGCTGCACTGCAGCATCTCTGAACAGAGCTCAGGTGCATCATCTGTTAAGCAGAAGTAAGTTTTTCAGGTAAGATCCCTGCAGGACATTGAGCCTGAATGGGTTTCCTCACAGCCTGGCCAGCCCCTGAAATGTGTCTCCATGCTCCTGGATTCAGTCTGTAGGGTGCAGCTGGACAGGACAGCAGCTCATATGGGGCTTAACTCTATGGAGATATGTTGGCATCCAGTGGGTAAGACAGCCCCTTTCCTGCCCCACAGTCACCCCGAGACCACAGAACGTGTACTGAGGTGGGAGGTGCAGTGCCAGCACTACCTGTTGAGGACAGAACGAAGCTGTGAGCTCACCTTTGCCAGCTCCTGAAGGACGTGACCAGGGCAGCTCCCTGCCACCCCTGCTGAGCCTTGGAGGAATAATGCCTCTGTGCAGGTCAGCTCGACTGCACCAGTGCGAGAGATTTGTTGTGACCATGGTGACTCTGCTGACAATCTATAGTCCCTTCTGTGTCGTGGAGGAGGGGGAAAACAGTGCTGGCATTTTCATCCTTGAGGGGAAGCAATGAATGCAGATGTCTTGTATTTGTCCTCAACCCAGTTTATAACCAAGTTACATTCCAGTTACTCTTTCAGCCTGTCTGATTTCTGAAAGATCTCTGTGATTCAGAGCCATAGAGGCTCAGTTTGGACTGTGTGCTGTGTAGGGACAAAAATTCCAGATTCCTTTGGGCTCCAGGTTGCCGTGGAGTGAATCTCACCAGGACTGTGTTGTCAGTCTGTGTAAGGGAGTGACGCAGGCTCTGTGAATGTTCATATCCCCTCCAGTGGACAGGCGTTCCTGTTAGAGGGGATGTGGCTGTGCTCAGGCTGGGTGATCTGCTGCTGTTTCCCTGGTAACAGCAGCTGACAGCCCTGACGCAGGGACGCTGTGCTGGCTCTGGGGGAGCCCCCCCTGTGGGTGGGGGGCTGCTGCTCTCCTGCAGCCTGCCTTCCACCGGCCCCCCGAAGGCTTCGTGGCCCATCTTGTTCTTGCCAGAGAGCCCTTCCCAGCTTTTATACTTCACTTGATTTACCCCAGTCTTGGTTACAGGCCATCACTTCAGAGGCACTGGGAATATTTATTTTTCCTTGCCTCAGTGTTGTTCACTTATCTTTGCCTTCCAAATCTGTTCTAAAGCTGTATTTTATTTAGAGCAGACTTACAGACCAGAAGTGTTTCCCCCCTTTTAACCCAAACAGAAAATGGGCTTTGTCTGGATGTTTGGTTGCTGTCTTATCTGGATGGATTTGGCAAGACTGTCTGCTGTGGAACCTGCAGTTCCATGTCCTGGTCCATTCCAGACTGGACATGCAGAGAAGAGGAAGAGCGAGCCTGTCCTGTGAGGGGAGGCTGGAGAGCCTGGGAGAACAGCCAGTCCCCTTGGCTGAGCTGTGCTAGCCTCAGGTTGTGCTGTTCCATTCCATTATGCATATTGCTTTTCTCATTAACTGATGAAAATTACTGTTTTTTTTCTGGGTAGTGCTGTATTTCAATATCGTAGATCTAAAAAAAGAAAAACAAGATCCACGTCATGATCTGTCCAGTAATGCACTGGGAGAGGTGACATGGTTTGACTGCAGAGCTGGATCTGAATGTGACACCAAGCTGGTAGCACATCTGTGACTGGCTGTGTTTAGCCACACGTGCAGCCCTTCAAACACTGAAGGATGTGACCAGTGCTCTGGAGGAGCTGGTGCTGTGAGGGGTTCTCAGGAGGAAGCAGCCCTGGAAGCTGTGGCACTGGAGAGATGGCTGCAGGCCTTTCTGCTGGCATCTGCCACCCCAGAGTGGCACCTGCCTGAGCACAGGCCAGGCAGTGCTGGCGTGCCCAGCGGCCGCTCTGGCCTCCTCTGGAAGCAGCTTCCTGCAAAGCCTGCAGGAGTGGAGGAGGGTGGTGGTGGGGTGGAAGGGTGAGGAGGCCCGTGTGTGCCCCTCGGCTCGGGGAGTCACCAGGGTGAGGTGTTTCCTTCTTGGAGAATAAGTAGAAGGAAATGTCAGCTGGGACAGCTCTGTATCAGTCAGTGTCTGTTCACAGCAAAAGGACTGGCAAATTCTGAGGAAGAGAATGAATGGTTCCTGGGTCCTGCTCACACCTACAGCCAACGTGGTATCTGGCATGATTGCAGTTAATCTGCAAAAGGCTCACTAAGATTGGGCTGTCTGTCAAACAATTTAACAGTCACTTCCCAGCTTTAATTAGGTGCAGTCACAGCTTCCTAAAGCAGGTGAGCACTCCATTCATGGTGGGGATGGTAGACAGCAAAAGCATTTGTATGGCTGGATTTTGTAGAGCCACATGCTTACTCTGAGA